ACATCCAACGCTGGCAGATGACTTTGGATGACGACCTTCCTTGGGATCAGGCCAGACCAAAAAGAGACTGCCTCTCCATCGCGGTCGGACGCATGCTCAAGTCTGAAATTCGCAAGCGCCAAGGAGTCCACACGGTCACGTGCTTGGCTGATTTGTCCTGTTTTTATGACACCGTCAACTTGGACAGCATCTTGGAGCCTGCTGCTGAGCTCCACTATCCGCCGGTCCACCTCAAGCTGGCATTGGATCTGTATTCGGGTCCGCGACTGATACAGGCTGAGGGCATTGCTGGGGACCCCAAACACTACTCGCATGGCATCCTCCAGGGCTGCCCGCAGGCTCCTGCCATCAGCAAGCTGGTCCTCTTTCGGCCTCTCAAAGAGCTCCAGCGCACACACCCAGCTGCGGCCCTTCAGACATGGGTCGATGATGTATCCTTTGACGTTTGTGGCACTGATCCTGACTACGTGGCCAGAGAGGAGCTGGCCTATCGGTCCCTGAGGGAATTGCTCATGTCGGCGGGCCTCAAGGTCAACACGGACAAGACCGGCTTCATTTCCAGCAGCAAGGAAACGGCCAGGGCGCTTAAGACCCACCTTCAAGAGCATGATCCCCAACACCACAACGTCTTGAGAGACTTGGGGGTTGACGCCACAGCTGGTCGGCATCGAAGGATCACTCAGGTCAAGAAGCGACTTCTCAAAGGTCGAGGCAGAGCGGGCATTCTCCAGAAGTTGAAGTTGCAAAGGAACATCAGTCACCGCATTCACAAAAGCGCCATTCATCCCGTGATGTCCTGGGGGGCTCAGGCCTCAGGACTGGCCCCTCAACGGCGCCAATACATCAGGGTGATGGCGGCTCGCAGCTTGGGTCTGCAGCGGTCAGGATCTGTCGATGTGGTTTTTGACACTCATCCTCAACACATTGATCCAGGAGACTCCATCATTCAGCAACATCTCCACTCCGTCTGGAAGGTCTACCACTCCTTTGATGAGAGCTCTCAGCACCTTTTCTGGACGAGTTGGAACGTTGCGCTGGGTGCTCTGCAGAAGGTCCGCTACCGGTGGCAGGTAGTCAGCGGCCCACTCCAAGCTTTGCAGGCCTACCTCCTGGACTATGACTTTGATCTCTCGGATGGCAAAGCATGGAAGCGAACTGGCTATGGCGGGATTCCTGATTGTGTGCTCAAATTGGATGAGTTGGCCGGAGCTTCAATACAAGCTGCAGACTGAGTTTCGCTGGCAACGTCTCCTCCGTTTGACCAGGTATGAAGGGTGCCACGACCTGGAAAGGCCACTAGACTGGCAGGTCAGCCTCACCTTGCAAAAGATGGATGAAGGCCACAATGGACCCGCCTTGCGAGCGCTTCACCAGGGCACTCTTCACGGGCAGAAAGGAAACTGTCCTCTCTGTGGAGAAGAACTCACTTTCGTCCATTTGTTGTGGCAGTGTCGCTTCTGGAAGGGCAAGGTCAAGGACTTGCCGGATCAATGGAAACAGAGGCTTGCAGCTGGAACGGAGCCGGAGCTCTGGCAGAGAGGCATGGTACAGTCCATCTTCTACCTGCAAGAAGGGGGCATGGGCACCTTCCAGAATGAAGGGCTGTGGACGACTCAGGCGGCCTCTGACATCCCTGCGGGACATGCGATCTCCCTTGCGGTGGCACCCACTTGCCGGGATGGCCGTCGCAAGCGCTTTGTCTTTGCGCTCTGCATGCACCAAGTTGCTTCCAAACAGAGGGTGGCGGCTTTGAAAGGCATCTGCCCGGGACAGGCCACTCGGGCCAGGGCCCTTTTCTATGGTCTCAAACACCTAGCGCTACATAGCAAGGTGAAGGTCACTGTTGCCATCTATGATCATGGCATTTGGAAGGCGTGGCAGCCCACTGAGGCCTTTGCTCAATTCCCTGATCTTTACCAGGGATTGGATCTTGAAGACTTTGCTCAAGTCCGACCCCTTCTCTTTGGCAGAAAGGAAGAGGATTCCAATGCAACACGTTTGACCTTCCAACAAGATGCAGACAAGATGGCTAGGGCTTTTGCCAAGCAATCTCGGAATGAGGAGATCCTGGACCTTCAGCGACACATTGATGAAGACACCAGAGACGTCCTTTGTGTTGCTGCTACCAGGATGAACATCCTCCTCAAGGACAAGACTCACTTCCTGCATCAGGCGCAACCGGTCGACTCTCCGGCCAAAGTGCCCATGATTGAACAGAAAAGGCTCATCCTTCAACAGATGGAGCAGCATCCCTCCATGGGAGGTCATTCCTGGCAGGCCTACCGCACCGGAGTTCGCTGCAGTCTCTGCAAGCAGCGGTTCCATGCCAAAAGCCTCATTGGCGAACTCAGAGCCGCTGTGGACTCCTCGTGTGACATGGCAGTGACACCTACCCCGGCAAGGAAGACCCGCTTTCAGGTGATCGAAGAGCTCATTGGTGCTCAGTCAGGTGTTCAACAGGGAGTGCACCACTTGAAGCTTGACAAAGCTTACCTACGGTGCTCGGAGTGCGCCAGCTACATCTTGGCAAGGTGCAACGAGGAAGCCTTCAACAATTTCGTTGGCAGCCCGTGCTTGGTTGGCCCTTTGGAGGCAGCGCTCTGGAGTGGACACCCTTCGCACACGATGAGTCGGAAGGGCAGTCTCGCCCGATGCACCAGGTGCGGGGCGGCAGGACGCATCAAGAACGACAAGGTTGAGATCAACCCCAAGTTGGCCAAGAGATGTGTCCACCTCGGGTCAAAGGACCTCCGAGCGTGGTTTTCGTGAAGGCACTCAGCCCGAAAAAGGCGTGCGAAAAAAAACCTAGACGACGAGTGGCCCGAAAGCATTTTTCATCACGTAGGAAGTCAGAGTGTGAGTTAAGTGTTCAGTGTGAAGTGTTAAGTCGAGTGAGTTGAGGCAGTGTGTGGGTCTCTGTGTGTGTGTATCCATGTCTGTGTGTGTATGAGTCTCTGTCTGTGACTCCGAGTAAGTTGAGGCAGTGCGTGGGTCTCTGTGTGTGTGTCAACCTTTTAAGAGAGCCGGGTGGTCGGGAGACATGACTCAGCTGCAGGGGCGCCAGAGCAGCTGCGAGAGATGACTCAGCCGCGAGAGATGACTCATCCGCGTACTAAAGTTGCACTGCAAAGTCACCAGTTCTCAGCTTCCAGCTCCCCAGATACTCCGCGTACTAAAGTTGTACTACAAAGTCGCCAGTTCTCATCTTCCAGTTCCCCAGATACTCCGCGTACTAAAGTTGTACGACAAAGTCGCCAGTTCTCATTTTCCAGCTCTCCAGATACTCCGCGTACTAAAGTTGTACTACAAAGTCGCCAGTTCTCAGGTTCCAGCTCCACAGACTGCTCCACGTACTACAGTTGTACTACAAAGTCACCAGTTCTCATCTTCCAGCTCCCCATATGCTCCGCGTACTAAAGTTGTACTACAACTTCGCCAGTTCTCATCTTCCAGCTCC